CGACGCTCGTAGCTCCCAGCAATGGTTCGGCAACAGCAACTCCGTGTCCGCCATAGCCCGCTAGACCTCCGTAAGCTCCGTAAGCTCCATGAGCACCGTAGGTTCCTTGGCCCCCGTAAGCTCCGTGCCCACCCCCGTAAGCTCCGTGCCCACCCCCGTAAAATCCGTGACCGCTCAAGATTGCTTCTCGTCGCTCACGAGGAGCCGCAGTAACAACGGCGCATAGGGCAAGCGAGATGAACTGAAGATGCAGAATCTCAATTTTAGGCGAGTCCAGAAATTAAATTACATAGCTTTTATTTTGGCATTGTATTTCTATGGAAACAATAGAAATTAATTTTGGGAAAAAATATCTTTTAACTTTGAAACTATATTTATATATCATATGAAGCAACGAATAATCGCGTGGAATTTTTTTCGAATTCTCGATAAAATTATTAAATTATCATAAAATGTCTTGACAAAAATGTACTCGACACATTTGTCACTATATCTCACTCCATCGTCTCGCTAAAAGGCACAATGGATCCGATCGCGACACGTTGATTGTTCAGGTAACAAAGAGAAAGAGAGAGTCAGGATCGCGCACTTCTGACCGTCGGGACGAATACTTACGAGGGTCTTCATCGTGCCGATCGGGAATGCTTGAATGTGCCTACAGCCGACTTCGGCAGACTTTATATACGTCTCTCAGGATCTCCACGACCGCGCCCCCGCTTGATCCCTTCGAATCATATCCGTTGACGATGTTGGTCTCTTATTCATTGTGTAAGAAGGTCACCGACACACCCACTCTTCTTCGGATAAACCCTTTACATGACCTTCTGGCCTAGAAATTTCAGAAACAACCTCCTTTATCTAGTCCGTAAAGAGCACCTTTAGACTCGCTAATTAAACGTAATTGCGAACATTCCGTTCAATTATACTTTGCAATAAATGTTTCGAAATTCGAGCTATATATCATATCAAATAGTTATGGCTAAAATAATTGTTTAATTAATTTATATATCTAAAATATATATAATTTTGTTAATTTTTTTCTCATTTGTATCAATCTGTGTAGGTTGAGATATCTAAAAGAACATAATCTAAATGTTTCTCTAATTTTTAAAGAGACAGGATAATATATAAAAGACAAAGAGAGTTTTACCATTCTAATTCTTTTTTGTAATATCAGTTATTTTTACAGGTTATACAATTTTAATCTTTTTCCCTTTCTCTTCTTGAGAATATTTCATTACCTTCAAAAACAAAAAAAATTGTATCTTTTTACATACTTCATTCTATATTCACGTTTACACGTCGTTGAATAAATCTTTCACACTTTTTTTCTTTATGAAAGTCGTTGCAGTGACTTTTCCATCTTTTTTGAAATTTCTTTTATCTTTAATGTACAAAGAAGTTGGATCACAGACGTAAAAATAAATATCTGTATGTTGTCAACAAGTTTTCTCACTTTCTTGTTATAATTGCAGTTGTCAATTGCAATCATTATATATATGATCTAGTTTATTCTTTCAAATCATGCTCATCTGCAATGAAATCTTATGTGAATTGTGTAGTAATTAGCGTTTGATATACCCACATTCGGCAATATTGACTTCTCAAATGCAACTTCCATGAATGAAATCCTGGGAAAAAGTTCAAATAAATTTTTACTTATTCTTTATTTACTTTATTTAGCCAGAGCTTCGAAAAATGATAATAGTTTTTGAAACATATCAGTTATATATATCAATTTCGGTAAATAAATTATTTGACATTTTTTGTTCCATACTGCGTTTTACGAAAACAGTTTGTAGAAGTCTGAGATGCTTCCATTTAGAAAGAACGATGCAAATATATAAATTAATAGAAAAATAGCTTCTTTTTATACAACTTTTTAAAAGTGTCATTTTTCAAGCGTTTTTTTCGGGCTTTCCAATGTTTGCAATAATTATATTGTTCCACTCAAAGTGAATTATTAACAATAATTACATATAATTTACATAATTTCATATATATTTTACATTAACTTACTCTCATTCCGTGGCATAATCGGCGAGTTGCATAACCGTGTCGTAGAAACAAAGCGATACGCCTTACATCATCTCCCGTAACAAATCAGTTTCAATCAGAGAAAATTAGCAATTTTCATCAAATTGAGAATAATATACTTCTTTGAAGAATCCGCTACTTGGATTTTGAATCTCAATTGCGTGACGACGTAGGTCGTCAGGATAGGTCAATCGGGCGATTGAGTCATTCGAGAGAAGGGCAATCGAGCCTTAACCCCAAAGATTACAGATTATATACAAGGTGTTTCATAAACTCATCAATATATCTCTCATGGTAAATTTGGGCTAAAAAATATTTGTGTAAATATTAACATAACGAGATTATTAAATTTATAATATCACTAACAATAAGAACTACATTAATATGTGCAAACCTTTTGAAATATAGAGAATTAACCTTGTATCATGTGCACACATTATGCATATATAATCGAATTATATATTCTGCAATGTTATACATAATGATGAGAACGATTTCAAGCAACGCCAACATAAATTTGATTATATATGCTAATTGTGAGAATCTCACTCGTCGTGAGATTGTGCACATATTTATATAATCAAATTTTAGGGCACAAAGTACAGTTATTTAAAACGATTGTACTATATGTCTTAAATTGTCACATATTACAATATTTAAATAAAATTTTATGTAATTTTGTTACTTATTGTTAGCTACGTTTCACGTAACTATAATTAAAGTTTGCGTTAAGTTTGTATATTAAAAAATAAGTTAAAGTTTTTAATATGCAAAGATTGCAATAAAATTACTATAAAGTTTTTCACGATATTGATCGCTTCATTCTTCAACCGTAATTAATTAAACTTTCTATTTCAAACGTTATTGCATTCCCGGAATAATATTTCTATATTCTAAAATATTTAATACGAGAGAGAGAGAGACAAGATATGCTCATCTTGTCATAAACATAGCAGCTTGTAATATAACGAAGTTCTAGGTTGCAATTTATGCAAGATGCGCAAGGTGAATCGAAACGCGGGGTGGCTGGGAAAGAGCCACGCTCTCAGGAATTAATGTGCTCTTCAATGTGCACGATATATAACCGATGATGCCAGCCGACATCGTGCATTCGACCTTTAACGGGTGCGATGAAAGACGCGATTTCTCAAACGCTCTAATTTCACGTGAATATCACGTTTCTGCCCACAATCACGAAAAAGACCGTGAGATCTTCTGCATATTCACATTTCTAGCAAATAATATTAAAATAATATTGCTTACGTACGAAGAATCTCTTCTATGATTACATCGTTTTATTTTGCAATGTTAAATATCATTATTTTTTCTTGTAAGGAAATTTTTTAATGATATTTATATGCGTTATATATATTAAATGTTATACATAAAAGTGCAGAATATAAAATCTATTACAAAATTTTTTATATAAATTCAAATTTCTTATCTATTCTTAATAATAATGTTTCATTCTCAGATCAACGTCAGATAACATAACTTTTACATTACTTACAAATATAAATATTCAAGTCAATATAGCTGTATCAAAATAGAACTGTCTTTCTTTACCCAAAAATTAAATTATTAATTTAATATACAAGTTTAAAAACGTGTATCAAAAAAAGTTATAAAAGATCGCGCAAAAAAGCAAGTTAAGAAGATGCTTTGAATGATTCGAATGTTACTAGACGAATAGAGAGCAAATGCGAGTATCCGCGAAAAAGAAATCGGAAATTCGACCTTTATAAGCATGATCCTTTCCTCTTTAGTTGCGCTATAAAACGCTACGTGTCTGTAAATGTTTCACAAAGAGTTGCGCCGCCGTACGACTTTATCCGCAGCATCACGTTCTGAAAATTCGTACTTACGTGAAGCGGTTGAAGGTGGTACGGTTTCCCCGCCGCGATTGAGCGTGATCAATGTTAATGGTGAGACTGACATTTGCAATCATTGTCTGCGGCGCAATACGGATGCAATGCACGGCGATGTTTATGGGAGCATGCAACCTACTCGCCGCTTTGCGTGAGATCATGAGAAGTATAAAAGTTACCAAAGTTTAGTCCCTTAAAAAAAAAGAAGAGAGATTACTATAATTAGTTAAAACGTAATTACGAAAGTCTTGTAACTGCGCTTCAAGTATTCAGAATTGCCTGAGATCCCTTTCTCTCTCTCTCTCTCTTTTCTTTGTCCAAAAGAGAGCATAAATATTTTTTTATCAATTTTATATATTTATTCTTTACGAAAATGAATATCTCTCTACATAATTTATGTTTTATTAATATATAATCCACATTTATAAAGTGTTTTCCCTGTAAGATATTTATACGAGAAATTCTCTTTGAATTGACCTTGATCATAAAAATGGGACGTCCTTATAATACTTTGTGAATAAATTCTTCTGGAAAATGCGTGCAATATATAATCGTACACCCCCGAGAGTGAAAGGACCGCGCCTCTCCGCATCCGGCATGATAGGTTTCCATCTCCGCTGATTATCCCTGACGATCGTGCCTTACGAAAGGCATATCTTCTATGACACAACTTGCGACACGTCGCAACATCATAATCTTGCTTATATTTTTCTTCTTCTTTATGTTTTTATGTGACCGTCTATTGTAGAAAATTATATCAGGCGCGATCCGCGTACGATTTAAGTCGATGTTTTATTTCATGATTTATAGAGAACAATTTTTAAACATAAACATTGAAATTTATTTTTCACGTATATCTAAATTTATTAATCAATAAAATCAATTTTTTTTTGATAAAATCCATTATTATTATAAAGAAAGAATTAAAACGAGGTGATTCCAGTTAATATACTTATGTGTATCTATGTCTGCCTATTTTTTAGGATTTTATTTCTTCATTGGAATTATAGAATATACCATTCATTAATAAATCGAACTCTCTAGCAACTATATTCAATAAATTTTTTTTTATCTTTACTTTCATGAAATAATATCTATTTTTTTCCTATTACGCGAGTTTATAAAAATGACTTAATGAGCAATTAGATATACTATTAAAAATTAAATTCTAATTATTTCGTTAAAAAGTTACTTAATGTTATTTTTGTTTTGCGAAAAAATGGAAAGTTTGGTATTATTTAATAAATCCACGGGACTTTATGCTTGAACTTTACATTTATATTCCAAAATACATAAACATATTTCTATTTAAAAAAATGTTTAACTTTTTGGATTGTTAGCCGTGGAAATCGATGGAGCATGTTATTTCCGTGGAAAAATAGAAAAGAATAAGAAAAGGTTAGAATAAAAAGAGGAACACAAGTATCTCGACGCATTTACATTTTATGTTCTCTACCACATCACTAATCGATGTTCCAACCATAGAAGAGGTTTCGTTTTATTCCGAAACTTATATAGCATGCGTTTGCGTTTTTTAAAATTTTATTTTATGTCCATTGCATCGAGAAACGTAAAAGCAGTCGTCTCCAAAGTGTTTATAGTATTCGAAGATAGGAAAGATATACAATTCTTTTATAAATATTTAATAAAAAATATGCGACAAAACATCGTCAATTTTTCTTTTTAATAGCGCTGAGATGCCATAGAATGCTAAATTTCCTTTATAATACTTGCGTTCGCGATAAAAAGGGCCGAAACTCTCTCACGTATAAAAATAATTTTTTATTTAATCAGTTACTTTCCAAACATCTTATCTATTTTTAAATTTTTACGTATTTCATTTTTAAGTATTACAATATTTCTTTAAACATCTCGAAAATGTTACAACCGAGCAACTTTTCATGGAACAAAGGCGAGTACTTTTTTGCGGTTTTAATGATCTATTAAGCGCACAAATTAAATACAATGGTAGAACTTTGAAACGAGTCGTACCGGCTCTTTTAACGGACATTAGCAAAACAAATTTCTTTATTAAAGCAGATTAACGCAACAGGCGGTCCATTTGCAATCTAATGTTTCATTAAAAGATGGTTTCTGATCCTTCCACCGTTCCTGCTTTTACAAAGTCGAGACAACTTAATGCTGAATATAACGAATATTTCTAAAGATATTCAAATACATTTCATCTTTTGCGATATTTAATGGTAATGTCTAGAAAAGTCGTATCTTGTTCATTAAAATAAAATACTTATTGAATATATATATATATA